AAAATCACTTTATACGTCCCAAAATATTAGTTTCAATATACTACATTTGCTAAATTTTTGGATTTTTTGATATATCTTTTTTTTTGTGATATTTATTTGAAAAAAAAAATACATATGTATTTGTATTTATTTTTAGTTGTGAAGCTGAATCAGTTTTTCGATTTGTTTTATCATTCTTACAAATAAACTTTTAAATTTTCAGAATTTTTTTTTTCAAAATTCGAAAAAGTTCGAATTAAATCGAATTTGCAACACCAAATTTCGAAATGTTGGGCAACGTTCGAAATTCGGAACGAATCGAATTTCAACCTCACCACTACCCATCCCTAGCTGAAACATCATTTTAGCCAACCCAAAAGAATAAAAAACCTCAAAATTGATAGCTTATTTTGGGATTTTCGGGCACGAAATGGGGACCAAATATCACTATGCGCGATGGTCGCGTTAGACATGATGGAAATGCCCATAACCCCTTCCGTGGATTTGTCGAATATAATCGACATTTCATATGGATGCCACTAAAATGCGACTAATTAGCTCCCTTTTCACCTTTTTCATTTTGTATTTATCCTATTTGTTTTGGAAAGCTTTCTGTTTAGTAGCATTCAAGAAATTAGTTGTAACGTAATTAGTTTTTTTTTTAAGTTTTTATATTGTGACTACCCCACAGGTAAAAACTCGTAGCTCTAAAACTCAGAGTATATGTATAAGTGTGATAACCAGAATAACACCTTAAAATCAAAACCAATATATATATTTTTTTTTATAATTCACAGAAACGGTATGAAAATAAAGCAGGACTTAGCTTAGTAGTTTTTAATTTTTTTATTTGTGGCTTTAACATTTTTAAGAAACTTGAGGTGCCCTGTCAAATTATCTATATATCCGGCAAGCTACAACTTTTGAACGATAAGCTTTCCACAAAAACAAAAAAATTTTCTCACTTTCAAGGAGTTGACTTTTCCTGATATACAAACTTTTAGATTGTTAGCTTACCGTAAAATTTTTTCGACACTGAAAGGGATATACAATGGCCCTTAGCAAAAAAATGTTTTTTCGTAAAATTGCCCACCCACCACCCATATCAAGTGGGTGAACATATCATGAAAACCACTCGCCGATCTCCACAAAAATTGGTATACACATTCCGTTTAGCCTGCTTAAGCCCCGTCAAAAGAAAATTTGTCAAATCGGACAACAATCAATCCCCCTAAAGTGTGCGTGGCTTTTTCCGACTTTAAAAATTTTCCATATGGTGCTTGAGACGGTCAAGAACAAAAAAATCTTTATGTTCGCCACTGATTTAAACCAACAGATGAACTTAAAAATTTACACTAAAAATCAGGCCTTCGGAGAGGAGCGGCGTAAAGGGGAAAGGACAAAAATCAGCATTTCATCCACTTTGTTTTTACTTTTTCGGATCAACTTTTGGATTGGGGATTAGCCTACCTGTTCATACATATCAATGTTCTGCATCAAAAAGATTAAAAAAAAAAATGTCAGCTAATTCTTTGGCTGTTAGCGCTCGATATGTATTAATAGCGCTCCTACACGATATGTATTTGTCTATATAAATGCGACTTTTCTGATACGTTCCAATATATGTATGGTAAATACGAGTAGATAAAAAAAGGTAGCATTTTAATACATATGCAAATAAATATCGCGTAAGAAAGCTGTAAGTTATTAAATAAATAAGAAAGTTTTTTTTTTATTAACTTAAATTTATTATTAACTAATCGATTTTCATTGTTTGTAGCTAACACTTTTTAGCAAATGAATTGGCTTTAATACAAATGAAACTAATTCTAAAATAGGTATTAGTATTTACAAGCTTTTACTTAACTTAACTTGCTCTGTATGTATGTATATTTGTTAGGGGGCAAATTTTGCAATACATTTTTGACCAACTTCCCAATGACCTAGAGACTTGACACTTCACAGTTGGCTCAGAACCCGATGATAATGCAATACGGAAGATAAGTTAATCCGATAGGTGGCACAGAAGTCGACATAGTTGAAAACCCCTTATTTATAGTCCGATTTGGTTCATATTTGGGGCGTATATTAACTACATGAAAAGAAATAACCCCACTAAAGATTTTGTCGATAGGTGGCGCACGAGTCGATATATTTGTTAAATAAGTATTTATGGTTTCGATTTCATATTTTCATATTTAGAAGGCTTGCTTTAAAAATATTTGTTTGTACAATTAAATTATTAAATTTTTTCCTTGTTAAAGTTTAAATTTTTCATATAAGAAATGAAAATACATTGCGATAATTATGTGATCTAGAAAAACGGTATACATAATCAACGATCCTACATATTAAGTTTACATGCTTCGGCGGCTTACATTTTGCCTACAGTGTAATTAAGCTTTATGTTGCTTGAGCTGGTTCCATATGCCCGTAAATCGAAAACAGGTCGATGAAGGGGAAAAATACGCACACAGTCATATTTTTGAAAAACTTATACTAATTTCATTAGATGTAATTCGAATATGCATTTTGAGGGCATAAATAAATTAGTAGTTTAATTATAGATTATAGTAAATTTATAATAGTATTTACATAATTAAATAAAAAACGTTTCGCATAAACAATTACTAGTAAATATGTATGTATGCGGATAGCCTAATTACAAAAAAAGGACTACTCATATTAACTAGTAAGAAGCACGAAAAGTACAAGCAGAGTATGTATGCGTGTATGTGTGAACATAAGTCAGCGCGCCTAGAATTATGCTTGCGTTATACAAACATCAACTACAAGCACGGTGAACTTATAAATAAATAAAATAGTTTGGTGTTATTAACTACTATGCATGTAAATGTATGTATATTTATTAGCAGTTTAAAACCATTAGTGGCTAAAAAAAAATCTAGGCCGTGTATAGTAGAAGCTAATATTTTGCTGTAAAAAACGGATTATATTTTTTAAGTTTTATCGTAACACTACAGTGGTGATGTGGCTGGCTCTGTGTTGCACTGGGCGCGCACACCCACCAAAGAGAGTGTGCGCACACACACATACACTACTAGCGGCGACACACAAATATGGGTTTGTAATTTTTACGCAACTTTAAATTAATTTTTTATTTTTTTGTTTGTTCTTTTTTTCACTGAAAGGGGCCCAACATCAACATTACGATATTTTTCATTACATAAATTACATTTATAGTAGGCAGTGGACGTTTAACGACAACACATAAAAAATACACACACAAAATAGCGAGCGATTTTTTTGCATTAGGTACTTATTTGCTTTTGATTCTTTTTTTTTCGTTGATGACAGCTATGAAAATTTGTTTCTTCATCTTGTTTTTCTTCTTTTCTTTGGGTACACTAAATGTGTATATGTATGTATGTCTAACAACAATACAAACAAATATAATGGCAGGAGGCAGAGATACATAAAAAAAAATATTATATGAAATGATGAAATTAAATTAAAGAAAATGAAGGAGATTTTAAAAAGTGGAAGGAGAAGTTAAGTAAGCTAGACTGCTGAATAGAAGTGGCTTCGAATATGATGGTGAAATTTGCTGCGGCGCGCTTAAAAGTATGCAGAGCAATACAGGCATGATTGAGGTTTTTAGTGCTAAATATTTGTAAAATAATTTTTTTGGGTCTCCTTGACTATGCGAGAATTTTGGAAACTTTAGGGTTTTCTGTATGTCAGAATAGAATAATTTTTATATTTCATAAATACCTAATTGGGCCCGAGGGCACATTAAGAGCGAAATTTGAAAGAGGCATTTGATGAACAAGCGAAAGCATCTTCGAAAAAAGTTTTAGAGCACAGTCGCCTAGGTGTGAGTCCAGATAATTATTATCCAATAATATTTATTTTTCTGAGTATAAAGCACTAAACGAGTTCCTACTTTGGGCATATGCTCGCGGAAAAGGCAATAATGACTTATGGCGAATGAATTTCGTGCCTCAGATATGATGTGTGGGGAGTTGGCATACGGTATGATGCAAAACTAAAAAAGAAAATTTCCTTTTTGGTCGCTGTTCTGAGTAGCTAGATTTAATTTTTATTTTAGTTTTTTTCAAAAATTTAACTTTTTCGACTTTTTCGAAAAACGTGTTTTTTTCGGCGTAATTTTGCAGAACTTTTTGTTTCCTTTTCAGGAACTCTAGAACTATTGAAGAGCTACTCAGAACAGATTTAATTTTTTCTTTTTTCAAAATTTTAACATTTTAGACGTTTTCGAAAAACATGTATTTTTCGGCGTAATTTTGCAGATTTTTTTTTTCCATTTCAGGAACTCTAGAACTATTGAAAAGCTGCTCAGAACAATTTTGTATTTGTTTTTTTTGCCACATTTTCGAAGCAATTTTTTGTTGTCAAAATATCCATAACTTTTTTTTTTTCAAGAACTGTAGGACTATTGAAAAGCTACTCAGAACAGCTTTTATTTTGTCTTTTTGCATCATACCGTATGCCAACTTCACAGACATTCAGATATGTGAGTGATTAATATGGCATACTTTTCGGAGCAAAAAGATCTGCCCGCTCAAAATGATTATGCGTATAGAAAAATTTGCTCAAAACTCTTTAATTTGCAACACATTTGTGTACAAGAACAACACGTAAGAACAAGTTGATAACAAATAAATAAAAAAAAAATTTCAAAATAATTATAGAAAATGACTAGGAGCACAACCATAAAAAGCAAACTGAAATTGAAACACAGTATAACACAAAATACGAGCATACATTTAGGCGTAAACACAAAAAGTAGGCGAAAAGTATACTATATACGCATAAATTTGCATACTTTTGGGCGTTTACGCGTCTACTTAACATACAAAAATATTTTGGTTTTTTTTTGTTGACTGTATCAGTTGGATCCCTATTACCATTTTTTTTATAACACTTTCGTGTGACTGATTGATTGATTGATTAAATGAATGAATGTTGCTTGTACTTGTACTTGTAGTAGTAGTAGTAGTAGTAGTTTTTGCTGTTGTTGCATTAACAAAACTTACCCATTCGGACATTTCGTGCGTATCAGCATTTCGATGATGATAATTTAATATTAAAATCGTTGACACAACGGATGAAGCTACCATAAACATTATGCAATTGAAATATGTACCTGTTGGTTGGTTGGGCGTGTGAGTTTCATATTTTTTCGCAATTTTTTATTTTTTATTTTTTTTGGTTTTTGTTTATGACAATTTGGTTTTAATGAAAGGTAAATTATTTGTAGTTGTATTGGTTTGATAAGTGCAGCGTAAAGGATTAGAGAATTCGAAATTAGTTTTTTTGTTTTTTTCGAAAACCGAATTCAAAAAGAAAATTAAACATTTTTGAAATTTGACAAAGAAAATGTGATTAAAGGAATATATAGGCGCGCAGAAAAAAAAATTAATTCAGTTATTTGCATTTATTTTTTAAAAAGGAAAAAGAGCGTATTTCAAGGCGAAGTTGTATTTTACAGTGTCACCAAAAAAGTTGGCGTAACAAATGCAGATTTTTTTTATTTTTTTTTTTAATTAATATTGCGGTATATAGTGTTTAGTTTTCATTATTATTTAACAGTGGCGTAACAGTGACATTCAGTGGTTGTATTTTGTTATGGCAGTTGTGTAGTGGTCACGAGGTTTAGTTTTATGTTTTTGTTTAGCGAAGAAATGTAATAGAAAGAAGAATAAAGAAAAAGTATATACAAAAATTTTACATTAGTAGAGCAAATGCCTGTTTAGATTTTTGAGAATAAATTTTCAACTTTTACTTTTTCAACAAATTTCAACACGAATTTTGCGTAAAATATGTATGATAAATAGGTCTATGTAGATAAGTGTGGTATGAGAATGAATATACATTTTTTTAAGCACAATTTTGTATTTGTCTTTAATCTAAGAATTAATAATTCACCTAAGAAGTATTTATATAAAAGTGGAAAGATGTTTTTTTGAAATTTGTATTGTACAGATGTTAAATTTTATAAGAGAGTAAGGCAGTATGATATATAGAGTGGAGCGAGCTGCAAATTTAAGACTCATACATAAGTAACTAGTAAAATTTATTTTGTAAACAATTTCAAGAACAACAATTTCAACATTTGTGGTTTTAATGGAAATATATTTAAAATATTTACTATAAGTTTATTATTTAATTTCCCTTCTGTTTTTTTTTTTCGTAAATTTGGATATGTTGGCATTTAAGTTTTTTAATGTAGGGTTATTTTATTGTTATCCTGCTACCCGCTGAACACATTGAATTTTACTTCAAAGCATTTATGTGGCGAAAAAATATGTATATTTTCTAAAATCGTAAACTTCAAAGGAGGATATCTTCGATACAAAAAAAAAATAAATAAAAAATATCAGAATAAACGAGGAGAAAAGATTAAATTGTCGCATTGAGCTGTATAAATGCGAATATAACAAAATTCTTTCCACGCACATCGCACCAAGGGCCGAATGTGAGAAGGGTAGTCTCTGTAGTAGAGGTCCAATAAACATCTTCGCAGACGGATCGAAGCTGAACGTGAGAGTTGGAGGAGGTTTCTACTGTCAAGCAGAGGTGGTATGCACCAATGTTTTGCCGACTAAGAGGCACACGCTGTAATCGCTAATGGTACGATAAAAACTGGTGGGGAAATGCTTGACCTCTTCCTCAACCACCTAGGAAGCCTTTCAAATCAAGCTAATTTGGGTATATAGTGCCATCACTGAAAATTGCAGGGCTGACGAATTGGCTAGGCAGGGCACCCTCGAGGCCATCACCTCGGACAGCTAGGCACAGCAGTTCCGTTGGCAAATTGCGCCTGCTCCTGGACAGATGCCCTTATATTTGGCTCAGCGAGCGCTAGCAGAAACCCGGACATGCAAAGTTGCAAGGTCATTATGGCCAGTTGTTCACCTCAGGGAGTTTTTGCAGTTGGCTTAGCGCCAGATGTTGATTCTTACATGCTTACTGAGAGGACGTTGCCCTCGAAGAACTCACACGGTACGACTTCACATCGTCAGCGATTCCTATTGCCGCAGCTGTTTGGAAGACGAGATGGAATCATTTCAGCTGCCCGCGGAACATTGTTTTAACCACTCAGCACTTAGCAGCACTCTTAGTGTAATATAGAGAACCTGTACAATGAATTTGTATAATGTGGTAACACAATAGACAATCTAAATAATGTCTAAGTGAGACCCCATTGTTGGATCTGCCACAATAACTTAACCTTACCTAGCAACAACCTTAGTTTTTTGGTATGGTTAGGTTTGAGTATCTCGAGAACCTGAGGTAATTGAGCAATTCTAAAGCCGGAAGAGTACAAACTGGTCTCGGGTTATGAAATAATTTAACCTATGTTATCAACACCAGTTGTGCAGTCTTTGAAGTATAGCTTTTGAGCCGAGATATATGACAACTAAAAAATGAGCTTTCATTTTTACCGAATTCAGACTTTTTTGCAAAATTCGCTCCATTTTTCTGGGTTGAAAAAAACTAATTTATATCTTAATTAACCCCATAGATAAGTCTTAACTAAAGCCAATCTACAATAATAACTTAAATTATTTCCGACACATTAAAATTCGCGAATTTGTTCAAAAGATCTTTGCCAATTACCGCTAAAAATTCAAAGTTTTGCTTCTTAGCGCAATATCCCTGTTCCATTCTTCAAGAATCTACAAGAAAATATAGGCATTAAATTTTTTAGTATTCCACAGTTTCTATAATTCAACCTTTGTAAAGTCTAACTTTAACCCTTTCCGAAACCTTTGAGCCTCTTTTGGTTTATGTAATTCAAAAGTTTATTCGTATTAATGACAGATTTAAAGTGATGCGAAAATATTTATCACCACATTTTTAAAACACAAAACCGTCAAGGTTTTTATGCGAAATTTTTTATTCAGAAACTGGAAATAGAGACAACCAAGCAAGCGGCGCATTAAACTAAGAGCATAAATAAAATGATTGATCACGGAGCGCTTACTGCTGTTTTATTGAGTTGATCAACGATTAAAACTACTGAGTAATGAAAGGTCCCCCAAGATATGTGGGTAGAACCAGCAATGGTGCAATGTGGAGCTGCATTGAAATCGGGTCCCGGACCATAGTTATTATGGGCCCCGAGCCTTTAGTTAGTATGTTCACACCACACTGCCAATTGGTACTAAAGTGTTTGCATTTCATGCGCTGATAAAGGCATTTGAATTGATTCGTTGTGCTTAGGAGCATCGCGATGTCAAGTCAATTTAGCAGGTAGTCACGTTAAGCACCGACACATCTGAGTAAGGAAAGTTAGATGAGCAAAAGAGACCAGTGTCGCCATTTTGGTGCTTTTGGAGCTAGATTGAGCTCTTTATTTTTATGTTTAGCTCCGAAAATTGGGCTTTAGCTCTTAGGTCTTTTTTTTTGCCGTTTTGAAAATGATCTAAAACCTTTTTAGCTCCAGAAAGTTTTAGTTGTATTTGATTATATATTAAAATTAAAAATCTTTAACTTCATTGTACAAGTGTGGAAAAAAACTTATTTAACTTAAGTGATCTCAGGCAATTTCCGATACCTTCATGCTACTCTATTTCGATTAATACCAATGGATCACAAATTTTAATTTTGATTTTGTACTCACGCCACTATCCAATTTTTATGTAGACGCGCTCCCTTATTCCGAAAATCAAGCTAGTTTTTTTTGTTTGTTTTTATTCGGCTTAAAAAAAAGAGTGGTTCTATATAAAGAGGTCTTATGAACCCAATAAATAATCGTAATATGAGATACGGCAAATGTAATAAAATTAGATTCTCCATAAACCGTATATACATACATCACTTTTCGATAGCCCTAATAGTTTCTGAGAAATTAATTAACCATTTCTGACACTTCCTGTTTTCCATGCAAACACTCTACCTACTCAGATGAACGTGACCGTGTTTTATTTTATTCTTTTATTCAATTAGTTCACAAGATATACATAGTACGTGATTAAGTGAAATCACTATTTTTTAAAGCTGTATAACGGTAAATTGCAAATAACTCGAAAAGGTAACCATAGAAAAAAAATTATCTCGATTTTCAGAATCACCGAGCAATTCTACATAGGAATTGGATAGCGACCTCCATAGAAAATGGAAAACGGGCAAGTATAATTCCAGCTCCGATAAGCTCAGACGGTGTTTTCTCTCTCAGGCGGCCACGGTAGAAAAGAAAATCCAAAACTTAGCGTTGATAAATTGCAAATTTTGAAATGCACTTGAAAAACATAAATTTTTATGCACGGGGAAAAAAAACTTCGCCACAAACTCTTGGACCTAGGTTAAAAGAAAATCCTTTTTCTACACATGCGTTTTTGTTTTTGCATTACCAATTTTACCTTTAAGGTGAGAAGTAAATCCATCTTTTCATAAAAATTTTCCGAAATTATGATTCTTGACCGAGTTTTTGTTTTTAAGCGCTCTTTTTTTAGATGTAATTTTTTGAGTATCAGGGGAGCGAGAGCAATGTTGCCATACAGACATGTATTCTTGCTACCGAAATCCCTACCAAATGACTTCGACACCCACCAATTAAAGGACTTCGTTAGGGATTTGACCGGCCAACGGTATGCAACCTAAATAAAAGGCGTCGATATTTAATTACTTCCTTTGGTAGATACCAAAATATTATTGGCTCACTTTATGCGCAGTTTAAATCCATCATTTTATCCTACATTTGACGGATATGACAGTAAAGCCTTCAATATACTATAGCCGTTATCGATTCGCCAACAGTTAGCGAGTGGCGAAACGAACGAATTGAATGAGGTTCACCCAAACTCGCTATCATGCATAGTCGCTAGCTAACTTTTTTTTTGATGCCTTCACATGCAAAATGTTTCACTAAGCGAGCGGAAATCAAACATAACCAGCAGAAAAGTGAAGGCGGCTTATGTTTCGCAGGCGGTTAGAATGTGAAAAGAGGCATTCGGGTAAAAAGACGCGCCTTTGTACAAGTATAAAGTTGATGTAATTTGTATTGCACATATCGTTACTTTAATATAGCAAATGCAGTTTTAAATGAAAGTCGATATATTATAATGTTTGGTAGACCGGAAGTAAGTTAAACAGACAGCTTTCAAACTTAAATGCCAACAATTTTCTAGCCAATTTCATTGCCATTTGACAAATAATTTTACTTGCTAATTTTATTTTTATTAATATTTAGTTTAAAAACATACTATAGATATGTATGTGTAAATATACATAGGTATATAAATTTTATTAATAGGTAGGTTTAAAAATACACATCTATATTAATTTTAAATTCAAATATATTTGTAGTAGTTATAAGAAAACGTGCAAAAAATTTCAAAATGTGCTGTTCTGCGATGAAACCGATTAAAAACGATGGGAAAGCAAAAAGTGGATGCAAGTGGATAATGAATATGTTTCTTTATTAATTTTTTATATATATTTTTTTTATGTGAAAGAGAGAAAAAAAAAAAACAGAAAACATTTCCAAACTAAAATTGTTAGCCTAATTTTTATTCGCTTTTTTTGCGCTATGAGTCAAAATTGAATAAACTGCATGAAAGTTTCTGAGTTTTTAACTGTGGCGGTGCATATATTAATTTACTGCTAAATATGAGTTAACACAAAAAAGGCGCATATAATTGCAACGTATATGTATTATTTTGTAATTTTAAATCCTTCTTTAATTTTCAACAGCTGTATTGCGCGGCGCGAAGCAAGCTTAACTTGTTTTATTTTTTTTTGTTTTTTGTGTGAATTCGTTTCACTTTTTTTGCGAGTGCTAAGCTTGAAACGGCCGCACAACTTAAAGTATTGCCCAGGCTGTTGTTGATTGTTTTTATTTGCTTGGAGTTTTAACTTTTTAACGTGTCAAAGTTTTAATATTATAAAATCATCGGTTATTTTTTGTTTATATATATATGTATGTATATATATATATTTTTTTGGTTGAAATGCTTGATTAGGCATGAATATATTTATTTAGTAGATATTAATGTGGCGCGCAGCGTAAAACAGCGCAACGCCTAACTGGAAACACACCAAACACGAAAATTATACAACGACAAAGCTACAGCGAGAACGACAGTTAACGGAGGATAGCAAATGCTATTTGTTTGCATGTGTGTGATTTGAGAGTATACCATATATGTATGTATGTAGTGATTCGAGTACCATGTGAGTTAAAATTGCTTATATAAGAGATTAGCATTAACACTGTACTGTTAAAGGTGTGGAAATGAGGTGTGAAATTAACTGGTATGGCAGGAGTTTTCAAAATATTTCTTTTTTTTAAATATTTAATTCTTTTTTTTTTTGGAAATTTTTTTAGGTTTATTTTTGTGGCTTCTGCTAAAAATTTCTGTTAATATTCTACAGTTTCATGGTATGCAGTATGCTTGAATTTACTTGAAAACCTCAAAGTGTAAATAAAATAATGTATAAGTTTCTATATTGTTTTAAATAGATGTATGTAAATATTTTCTTCAAAACTAAAATTAGCTACATTCATTTCGCAGCAAATAAACATAGAAGAACACTCAGAATGCACGTAAAAGAATTGGAAAATAATTTTCGCTTACCTAAGAGTGGCACGGCATCGGATGTGGCGGGCATTGTTTCAGCCACCATATTGAGGAAGACAGTGAGCGAGAGTAGAATAGTAACACCTGAAAAAAAAAATTAATATTGTTTTTTAAAAAATGCTATAAAATATTGATAAATGGTTAAAAGAAAATTTATTCGCTAAAATGTATTTTGGATATATTGAAAACCGATACATATCTAGGGTGTAATATTTTAATGGTTTTTTATTTTATTTTATTTCTCAGACAATTGGTACTATTGGCTTTGGCCATCTTAGTCATGGAGCGATACTCAGTTGAACAACGCGTAAAAATTATGAGAATGGTCGTTCTGCAATACTACTCAGCCGTTTGTTGCAGAAATTCTAAGAAACTGGGTCGGTGAAAATCTGGTTCGTCGTCAGACATGGCTAAAACGAACACTTAAATCAAAGGTTAGCACCCTAGCTGGCTACTGATTATGAAAGGCAGTTATCACCAACTGGCCTCATTATTTACATCGGGAAAATATGCTAGCCTAAGTTTGAGTTAAAGGTTTCAGACTACAGACGCAATTGCGAGACTGGTACAGCTGTGCCGTTGTGCAGAACCTTCCCTGCTGCTTATCAAGGCTTCTATCTAACCCAGCCTAGTTGGTGCGTCCAACATTATTCGTCAGCTCAAGTGCCCTTAAAGCATTGCAGCTGTGCTTAAGTTTTGCTTTTGCACTGGACAAATGCATCGAGGACAAATTATCCTTTGGCTAAATGTAATTCAAGGCATGCCCTTGCCAAGTTTAATTCACTATTTAACTTTTCGTGTATTTGCACTGCAACTACTTTGGCAATCTCTTCAGCAAAAAGGGAAAGATTTCCAGAAGCTATGAGCAAATATGTGTCGAGTAAAAGTAATAGTGTTTGTAATCATAGAAATGTGTCCGGGTGGTTGCGGTGTTGTAAGATATTTACATTTCATCTAAACATTTTTGGTCAGTAAATAATATATATATACAAGTTGATGCCTGCATAGCAGGGCAATATGCTAGCAGGATATACATATGTAGATATATACATAGGTACATAAAATTATTCACTGAGGATAAACATATGTTACACTGAGGAAGTGTTAGCCATTAAATTAAAATGCTTCCATTATTTCTTGCCTTTAAATACTTATATATGTACTAATATTATTTAAGATGCCAATCCTTTGTCACGCACACTTCTAAACATACATATGTATGCATGATATATTATACATAACGATCGCCCTCACAATTTCTAACATTGCCATGCGAACAATTCATCATTCGTCCTCGGAGTGTAGTAATTTTAAATGAGTGTCAATATTTGCACACCAACCATCAACCATCGCTAACTACCTCCACCTCACTTCACTCTTGCTCATAACCAAAAGTAACCACATATGTACATATAATCGCCAGTATGTCATGCGCATCTCACCTCACCTCACTTTGCGCCTAACACCTAAATACATTCATTCACTGGCTGTCTGTAGTACATCGAAGCGGCTACACAGCGCGCTCTTGGCCAACTGAGTTTCCGTCCTCGGCCTAACTGGCATTGCCATCCTTTTACACACACATATTCGCATCCTTTCCTACACTTTTCACAGTTGACTTCCTTGGCAGTATGTCTGTGTGTGTGTGTGTTTGTGCCGCATTTTAATTCAATCATACTCGGTCAAAGGCTGTGGCATACCATTTGTTTTAACTGACCCTTGGGACATTTTGTCTTCAATTCAACTTTGCTTTTTAGTTCTTTATTTTGGTTTGGATTTAATATTTTTTTTTTAAATTTTTTTTTCATTTCATTCATGTCGAATTGGGAATAGTAAAACTGCCCAAAGAGCGTTAAAGTACAGCAGCCGAAATGAGGTGACTGAATCAGCCAGCAGTGACAAGTGCGACTACATAAGTTCACATACATACAAAAGCGCCCGCCCACCACATTGGTCTATTCGTTGTTGAGCTAGATTTTGAACAAATCTAATGCATTGTATGTAGGTACATACTTAATTAAATTCAGGTAAGATTTTTGGTGGCAGCTCGCTTGCGGTGCGGTATTTTTTTTAGAAATGAGAAATGCCCTTTCGTTTTCTTGTTGTTTTTTTTTCTTTTCTTGTAATTTTAACAAATTTGGCTTTGCCAGCTCGAATTCGACATGACCTGAATTGTATACCAATGACGCAAATTTGGCATGTCTTTCATTACCGATGCCACACAGTGTATTGAGCTGGACAAAAACAGTTAAAGTGAGAAATCATTTAAGTGGAAAAAATATGAATATCCTGAATGAATGTTGAAACTTTTAGATATGCTTTCACGGCAGCATTTAAAAATTGAGAAACTAATACTCGCAGTTCGATAAAATTGCCCGCTAATTTTTTACCCCTTTTTCCAGAATTTTGCGGATTTGGAGTTTTTTTTTGTTTTTTAAATAAACCCATTTTTAGATCTACATAGTTTGAAAAAAGTTTCAAAATGTTTTATTGCTTTTTCGACAATCTTTAAACTTTTTTACTAGTTTTTTTTTTATGAAAAAGTATCAAATTTTTCTTATCTGCCAAACATTTTACTAAGACTTTTCAGTAGCTTTTCGTGAGAGTTTCGCAATCCTATATGAGTCTGAATATAGTTATATAGTTTTGGGCACCTTGTGAAATTGTATGAAAAAAAAATTTGTGGTTTTCCGGAATTTAGCGATTTTCGGCATTCTTAGTTTAATATTCTGAGTGACTTCGTGACATTATTGAATTTTTTCCGTCACCTTTTAAATTGCTTCAGCGAACATTTTTCAAACTTTTTTTTCAGGTTTATCGAAAAATTTCGGAATTTTTTTGAAAGTTCAAATTTCGAAAATTTTTTGTTAACTAAAAAAATTGTAATTTCTCAGCTCATTATTTGTGCAACGGATTAACTATAATATATTTCGTGGTTATTCATTAGTATGTTCGAAAGTTTACTTAATAATTTTTTGTAGTAGTTATTTATCGAATTTAATCATCTTCTAAATAACTTTTGATAACACTTCATGGTTATTTTTTCAATAGCTTGAAGTTAAAGTCGGTTGCCGGAATTGCCCTGTTAATCGATTCACAGATCGAATCTAAAACAAAAAACCGACAAAAAATAGAATCAGAAGAGCTCGATATTCGATTTAATCGATTTTAAACGGCAACTCTAATCGGGATATACAGGTCAATTCCGGCTAAGAAAGTAAAAATTTTTTCGTAAGACCAATGAAAGACAGATGGCAAGATAGTTCGAAAAAGGCACTTCACTCGTGGTGAAAAGCTATTTTGAGAGAAAGCTTTTCTATATCATTTAGGTCCCGTCACTCCAACAGTCGCAAAGGTCGAGTGAACAAGCACAGGCGCGCCATTCGAGAGATCCGAGTTCAAATCCTCGTGCAGCGGATTTTTAAATATTTTTTTTTGTATTTATTTGCCATTCTTAAATTTAACGTTCTTTTAATTTGTAGATTTTGTTGTGTTAAAAAAATACATATTTTTTTTTATTTATTTAATTTTTAGAAACTTATTTTATGTATTTATTATTTTTTAATTTACTATTCTTTTTTATTTAATTTTCTTTTAATTTTTAGATGTCGTGTTTTAAAAAGAATACTTTTTTTCATTGCATTTGATTTTTAGGAACTTATTTTATCTCTTTTTTTTCTATTTTAAATATTTTTTTTAAGTAAAATTTTCTTTTAATTTTTAGAGTTTTATGCTTAGGTACAGAAGAAAGTTTTGTTTAATTAAATTTGTTTTTTAGAAACTTATTTTATTTATTTTTTTCATTTTACTTTACCTAATTTGCTTTTATTTTCTAAATTTAATTTGCTTTTAATGCAAATAAAAAATATATTTTTTTATATAATTTTTAGAAACTTTAGTATTTTTTTTTTAATTCTTAAGTACATTTTTTCTTCGCTTTTGATTAAATTTTTTTCTTTTTTAAATTTAATTTTTAGTTTTTATTGTTTCGAAAGCAATTTCTTTTGCTAACTTTAATTTTATTGTAATTTGTTTGTCTTTTTTTTAAATTTTTTTCTTTTACTTATTTGGTAGTTATTATTATTATTTTTTTTTAATGTGACACTGTGCGTCGGTTGCGTGGAATTTACGCTAATATTGTTGTTGTTGTTTAAATTTTTAGTTGTTAAAATATGTCTAACATTAGTTACTCTATGTCTCTCCGCTATCTTCTTTGTTTCCGTGCTTTCTTCCGTCGCTCGCATTATTATTATTATTGTTGTTATTTTTCTTGTTGCCCAACTCAAACTGGATAATTTACAAAACTCATTGTATTTAGTTGCTTCCTGCTTTTCACATTGTATTTTACTGCTGCGCTAGCTGTTGGCTGGCTGGTGGTTGTGTATTGTACTAATTGTACATTGTTGACTCACTAATTAATGCCAACAGTGTTGACTACATCTCTTCTTTATTCCATTTTTTATTTATTTTTTGGTTTCGATTCAGTGTAAACTGATTTTGTTTTGGCAGTGCTTTCGTGTCACACGGTATATAATTGCTACTAATAAGCCAAAAACAAGGAGACTTTAGGCTAGTCGTTTTTGTCTCACCAAACCTCAGCAGTCTGAGGTGGATTACAGATATAAGTAAATCACTACTTGCTAGTGATAGTGCTTACAAATTGAAGACTACTTAACTAGGGGTTTGGGCTATTACGGAGCTATGGCCATGAAGCTCATTTAATTTCTTACTCTTTTTACTGGCAATTTTTTATATAGTATTTATACTCGTACGTACATCACTTTTGCCTGCCAAAATTTTTAATAAACATTTTTACCGTTGTTGTGAAAAGCAGCGTAAATGAAATGCAAAAGTTACCTACTTAGCAAATTAAAAATGGCAGCATTATTTTGCCGAATGCAATGCAAAATGAGCTAAAAATAAATCTGTGCGAGCAATTAGTTGAGGTGCACTGAGGTGAAAATTGGATTTGGTATGAATGAGTGAATGCATGTGTTTGTGCGCTTGTGTATTGCAGTTTTATTTCTGTGGAGTCCTCAAAGCCTACATGCACTTGCTGCCTGCTTTAAGGCGTAAAGGCTTTC